GATAGCATTGATACTTGATTTGAAGACTCCCTCTCTGTTGGTATTTAAATGCTTCTTTTTAGTAGCATTCTATTCTTGTTCAGTGGATGTGACCTGCCTTTTTACACCTCCAAGGATTTTAATGATTACTGTTTTCTTTTTCCTCCTTGCACTCAAAGATTTCCATCTCCTCAAGGATTTCCCACTCTTGGTTTATTTTAGTCTCTATAGAAGAAATCCCATATGGATTCTCTTTGTTTGTAAAGCCAGTTAGCTTGTCAGCACATGTATGTTTTGGGACGTCTTGTTAAGGATGAGTTTCATGCTGGGATCACCTGGTCAGGAATTTTGTTTTGGAAACCCCCACTGGCAGTGTTTTAGGAGCTTTTCTTTGGATGAGTCAGATTCCATGGAGAAGATTCTTCCAGTCTCGTGCCTAGAGGGGCAGACCCGCAATCTTCCAAGAATCCATAGGGAAGAAAAGAGAGTTGGGACTCAGCCACTGGAGGGTAGACATTTACTTAACACCCGTCTTCAGAGAGTTGCCCCACCCTGACATCCTCCAGAGAACAGACCTCCAGGATTGGCCAGATGTGGTGAGGGGTCCCTCAACTCCCTTTCCCTTCTGCAACCGTCTACCCAAAAACCAAACCCACTGCTATGGAATCCATCCCAACTCATAGAGCCTCCGTGTGTTAGAGTAGAACTACTTTATAGGATATTCTTGGCTGTGGTCTTTACAGAAGCAGTTCACCAGGCCTTTCTTCCACAGCACAGCTAGGAGGGTTCAAATCACCTATCTTTAGGTACCATTTGTCCCCTGCCCCCATGACTCAGCTTTCTCCCATCTCCTGTGTTTCTGACTTCTCATTTGGCTGCTCTCTTGCTTTCAAATGGAGGTGGTTTTTGTCTATATCATCATTTTTCCTGTCCCTGTCCAAAAAAATTCTTTTACTGGCTGCTCTGGGGGACTCAGGAAGATAAAAAGGGGGGAAGCCCCCAATGAAATGAGTTGACATTGTGGCCCCTACAATAGACCCAAACGTCCCAACAATCATGAAAATGGTGTAGGAGAGGACAGTTTTCCATCTTGTTATACATGGGGTTGCCCTGAGTTGGAGCCAATTCAGCTGTAACTAACAAGAGACATACAGGGTGAGAACGAACTTCTATGGTGTCTGGGGAACTGGGGCTGAGTATTCCTGGCAATAGGTGCTGGGCTCAGGGCAGTGTCCGGAGCCCATAGGCTGCTGGGATGGAGCCAGACAGGAGTCCTTGGGTCAGGCAAGGCCACCTTGTGATATTGTTTCTTTCCTTGGCAGCGGCCTCTCCGTGCTGATCCGCGTGCGCCGTGAGCTGAGCCAGCACCAGCGTGCCCGTCATACCATCCCTAGTATATTCCAGGAGGTGGTGCAAAGGCAGCCCGAGCGCTTGGCACTGGTAGACGCGGGCAGCGGAGCAAGCTGGACCTTCCGGCAGCTGGATGCTTACTCCAACTCCGTGGCCCACCTGTTCCTGCAGCTGGGCTTTGCACCAGGTGACGTGGTGGCCCTGTTCCTAGAGGGTCGGCCCGAATTCGTGGGGCTGTGGCTGGGCCTGGCCAAGGCTGGTGTGGAGGCTGCACTGCTCAACATCAACCTGCGACGTGAGCCCCTGGCCTTCTGCCTGGGCACCTCTGGTGCCAAGGCCTTGGTCTTTGGAGGAGAGCTGACAACTGGTGAGGCTGGGTGTGGGCTGGGATGGGCACAGGGCTAGTATGGGGTGGTCCTCAATCTGGGTGGACCCCAGGCCTGGGGAAGGGGGGCTGCCTGTCTATGAACCAGAGGTGGTAGTCCTGGGGAGGGGGCCTCCAGTCTTGACTATGACCCCTGTGTCCGGCTGCAGCGGTGATGGAGGTGACTGGGCAGTTGGGGAAGAGCCTGCTCAAATTCTGCCTTGGTGACCTGGGGCCTGAGAGCACCCTGCCCGCCGATACTCACCTCCTTGACCCCCTGCTACAGAAGGTTTCCACTGCCCCCCTTGAGCAGCCTCCAAGCAAGGGCATGGATGGTGAGTTAGGAGGCCTATCTGAGCCCCCACTGTCCTACCCTATCTCCAAAACCTGTCCCAGACCCTGTCCCCAATACTCACCATGTCCTCAGCCTCACTGCCCACTCCAGGTCCCTGTCTCCATCCCTGACACTACCCCGCCCTGATGCCTGACCCATCCCTTGCCCTTTTTCCTGCGTGTTCCAACATTCCCACTGCCCGCACCACTACCACCCTAGAACTTCATTTTATCTCCAACACTGCCCAATCCTGTCCCCCTTCCCTGGCTCCCACCTTGTCCCTGTCTGCAGTCCACTCACCCTCTTGTCTCTGACATCTGCACCATCCTTTTGTTCCTAACCCTTACCCCAAATTCTGATCCCAGACCCCTTTGCCCCAGACACTGTCCTATGCCCCACCCAGCCCCTCTCCTGGATGTCTACCCAGTCTCCTTTTCCTAATTGCCTGACGCATCATCCCCATTCCCAACTCCCATCCTGTCCCTCTGTGTCCAGTGCCACCTGTTTCCTTGTCCCTCACACCTATCCTATTCCCTAAGTCTCGTCCCTGATGCTGTCCTCCCCCTGCCCTCCCCCCCCATCCTCTCCCCAACCTGTCCCTGATGCTGCCCCAGCATCCCCCATCCCAGTCCCCATCTTCTGCATCTTCTGCAGACCGGCTCTTCTACATCTACACATCAGGGACCACCGGACTGCCCAAGGCTGCCATTGTTGTACACAGCAGGTGAGCCTCAGCCTGGCCATCCCAGGGCTCTCAACCTCTCCCAACCCAGCTAAACCCTGGGCTGTAAGCCTCTCCCCTTCTCCCCCTCCCCCCGCCTATCAGCAGCAGAGCCTGCTCCTGTTTCCAATCTTGCCCTAAACCATCCACTTCTCTCCCTACCCAGCTCTGCTCCGGCTCTTCCCCAACCACCCCCACACACCCCCTGCTCCCAAAGCAGCCACTGGGGGATTTCAATCCCTCATTCAGACTGCCCACCTTCTCCTGCCGCAGAGCTCATAATCAAATCCACACTCCCTTGGAGTCCTGAGCCTGTGTCCTCCGGCCCCACCACTTCCCCAGATCCTGGTCCTCCTCTCCTCTCACCCACTCACTCCCCACACTCTTCATGGAGCCACCAGCCCCAGTTTAACTGAAGGATCTTTGCACATGCTGTGTCCCCATCTGGGCACCCTTCTTTCAGCTTGCCCCAGCTGTTTTCTGCTCCCCAAACTGGCTCCCCAACCTCACCCACTGTGTCCCCAGCATCCAGCATGCCTCCTGTCCCCATAGGTACTACCGCATTGCGGCCTTTGGCCACCATGCCTACTGCATGGAGGCCTTGGATGTGCTGTACGACTGCCTGCCCCTGTACCACTCAGCAGGTAGCATGGGACCCGGTGGGTGGTGGGTGGTGGGTGAGTGGTCACTGGACATGTCCCTTCATCCGTCCACCTCCCCCAGGGAACATCATGGGCGTCGGGCAGTGTCTTATCTACGGGCTCACTGTTGTCATCCGCAAGAAATTCTCAGCCAGCTGCTTCTGGGATGACTGTGTCAAGTACAACTGCACGGTCAGCTCCCACCCCAACTCCTCATTCCCACGCACCCGGGCCCTGGATCAGCTGTCCAGGATAGGGACAGGGACAGCAGCCAGCTCTGAGCCTAACCCAGACTGAGCCATTGATGTGGCCCCTTACTGAGTCCTGGATCTTCGTAACTGCTGGTAGTAGGCAAAGGTTTCAGACCATTTCACAGGTGGGGAAACTAAGGCTTAGTGTCTTCATTGCTTTGTTGTCAGTTGTCGTTGAGTTGACTCCACTCCTGGTGACCTCTTGTGCAGCGTAGAACTGCTCTATGGGGTTTTCAGGGCTGTGACCTTCAGGAAACAAATTGTCAGGGTTTCCTCCTGAGGTGCCTCTAGATGGCTTTGAACCCACTAGCCTTTTGATTAGTGGTGGTGACGTGCTGTGTAGTCGGTTCTGACTCATGGCGATCCTGTATAGGGTTTCCAAGGCTGTAAATCTTTTTGGGAGCAGAAAGCCTCATCTTTCTCCCGTGAAACAGCTGGTAGTTTTGAACTGTTGACCTTGAGGTTAGCAGCCTGACTTGTAAGCACTATGCTTCAGTGCTTAACCATTGGCACCACCCAGAGATTCCTCTGAATTAGGGCAGCTATAATACAAATGTCACAAACGGGTGGCTTTAAAGATGACAAATTTTTATGTTCTGACAGGTTTGAAGGCTAAAAGTCTGACTCAGGTCTTCTTCCTTGTGAATTGCAGTGTGCGTAGATGATCCTCCCATGCTGTCTGTCTTTCCATGTGTGCGCAGGTCTCTGTGTCTCATCGGGTCTTTTCATAACTCAGAAGTCACTAGGTTTAGGATCTTCCGTACACTGGTGTGATCTCAGTCTCTAGATGACGTTATGTTACCCTGTATTGTTGAAGGTGTTTGTTACATTAAGCCAGATGCTTTCTAGTTGCTTCCAACTCCTGTGAATCCAGCTGTGTCCAAGTAGACCTGTGCTCCACAGGGTTTTCAATGGCTGCTTTTTTGGAAGTAGATTGATCACCAGCCCTTTCCTCTGGTCTCAGGTGGATTCAGTTACATTCTGGAAGGTCTTTAGGTTACGTTGAAATCAGATTGTGCCCCTTACAATGCTTTAGTTTCCCCCCACCCCCCCTGCAAATTTCAAGTGATCATTCAGAAGCCAGTCCTGAAATGACTGCTGAAGGTACGGGGGTGGGGGTAGATGTACCCAGGAAATGACGCTAGAAAACCAGGTGGAGAATTGAGACAGGAAAAGAAAAAGTCTCCTACAGCGGAAAGAGCTGGCAGTGCCAGGGGCAATTTGGGCCTCGTCCAGCCAGGGTCTCAGGCATACAGCATGTGCCTGGGAGTGGTGCAATCCCCTCATCAATAGAGCCCAGCCTTATTTGAATTTCCTGGAAAATGGGCCACAAGATGAAGACTTCAGGGCACAGAGAGTATCCGGGAGGTGACTCTAGGAAGCTCCAAGTTATTGATAAGTGCTTTTGAGTAAGTTCAGCTCATAGCAACCTGTATATAGGGTTTCTGAGGAACAGCTGGTGAGTTTGACCCTCTGACCTTGAAGTTAGCAATCCAGTGCTTACCCTACAGTGCCACACCAGGACTCCAGGAAGACCTGTGGAGGGTGTGACAGGAGGCACCAACGAGCAAGCAACGCTATGGGCAACCAGGTCTCAGGCTGTGTGGAGCTTAAGGAGCCCGTGAGAGCATGAATTTCAGGGTGGTCCCACCCCAGGATTTTGGAGTCCTGGTGGTGCTGTGGGTTAGGCAATTGGGCTGCAGACTTCAAGGTCGGTGGTTCAAACCTACATGAATTGGAATCAACTGATGGCAGGTTTTGTGTGGTTTACTTGCATGAGCTGAGGACTGTCTCTTGGGGCATCCATTCTCCCACATCCCTCTTATCCTGCATGTGCCACAGGCTCCTTGACAGCAATGTAGTGTCCCCAAGAGGTAGCTGGGGGTGGGGGTGGGGGGGGTGGAGTAAGGGGAACAAAGCAAGTGAACAGGTATATATAAAAATAACCTGGTGGGGTGGCGTCTGAGGTATCACATCATTGCCAGCGCCCCCCACACACACACCCCAGCCACCCCAGCTGCCCATGGTGGCCCTTCTGATAGGAGCCCCACCCCCACACATCTACCCCTAGGTGGTCCAGTACATTGGGGAGATCTGTCGCTACTTGCTGAAGCAGCCAGTGCGTGAGGCTGAGAGAGGGCACCGAGTGCGCCTGGCGGTGGGTAACGGGCTGCGGCCGGCCATTTGGGAGGAGTTCACGCAGCGATTTGGTGTGCGTCAGATCGGAGAGTTCTACGGGGCCACCGAGTGCAACTGCAGCATGGCCAACCTGGATGGCAAGGTGGGTGGGGCCGGCGTGGTGATCTCCAGTCCCCTGTGGAGTCCTGGGGCGGGGCTTGAGTGGGGCAAATTTATGGGGCAGGGTATAGTAGGGCAGACTCAGATTACCATTGGGACTGGGGGCCAGATCACTGGATTTAATCCTCTTGGGCCAAACTCTTGAAGGGCTACAAGTCTAGGCTTTGACTGCAAGGGCAGGTGTTGGGGTAAGGCCAGAAGGCTGATCACGGGTCAGGCCCAGACCCCGTCGGTATGCACACGTCATCACGGTGTGCACACGTCATCACGTAACTGTTAACCCCAGTGGTGAAGTTCCAGGTCAGGCTCTTAGATGGTTGCACAGACCTTCTAGCCTCAGTGTTAACGCATGTGGTCAGCAGTACAGCAGGAGTCTTGAGGATCCAGGGGTAACTAGGGTTGGGTACCAGTAGCCCCCTCCTGCTCTCTGATGCCCTCTTGAGCCACTCTCCTCCTTCATGAATGAGAACACAGCTCGTAGTACCACGAGGGATGCTTTTGTGAGTGGTGGTGGTGGTTGTGTGCCGTTGAATCGGGAGGCCTACGTAATACATTTCCAAGGCTGTACATCTTTACAGGAGCAGAAAGCCGCATCTTTTACCGAGGCTGGTAAATTCAAACCACTAACTTTTGCAGCCCAGCTGTAATCTACTAAGCTAGTGCCGATCAATGATGATTATCCCATTTTAACCTTGCCCAAGGGGACCTCACTCCTCCTTCCCAGGCCAAGAGCAATGATGATAAAGCTAATGCCCCAGACAGAATTCTGTCCAGTGTGCACCTAGAGGCAGGTATGCTTCCTCATTCACCCCCCCTTGCGTGTCTGTAGAATGAACGCAGGAAAGGACCCGACACAGGTTGACGCTGTAACAAATTCAACAGTGTGTAGTGGCAATGAGGCGCGCCAGACAGCATTTCTGGTCACATGACAGGATAGGATGAGAAGCCCCTCCTAGTGTCCCCACGTCCCTCTGGGTGGGTTTCATAACGTGGGAATGCGGCAGGCAGGACATGACTTTTTAAAAAATGTTTTATTGTGAATTATGTGATTCATGGGAGAACATTAGCTTAATATTCATCCTATGGTATATCATTTCATTGCCATGATTACAGCAACTATTTTTTTGGAGGGGTGATACCAAACTTTGCCCCCCCCCCCTTTTTTATGCAGAAGACCCAAGCTGGTCACAGCTGGGTGGTGCTAGGGGTGACTCTCCAGGGCTTGGGGCAGGGGAGGCAATGCCAGGGATACCCCCAACCCACTCCACCTGACTTGGTTTGCCTGTCCAGGTGGGCTCCTGTGGCTTCAACAGCCGCATCCTGCCCAACGTGTACCCCATCCGGCTGGTGAAAGTCAATGAGGGTACTATGGAGCTGCTACGGGATTCCCAGGGTCTCTGTGTCCCATGCAAGACTGGTGAGCAGCCCCTCTCCGCCAGCCCTTGACTCCCTCGCCCACCCTCTCTTGTGTTCCCGCCCCCCCAGTATCTTCACCCCGTCCTGTGCTTGCCCTTCCCCCACCACGCCCACACTGGCCCCACCCACCCCTTTCCCTTTGCCCTGCCCACACACAGCCTTAGCTTGGGCCCTCTCCAGGCGAGCCCGGCCTCCTAGTGGGGCAGATTAATCCGCACGACCCACTGCGCCGATTTGATGGCTACGTGAACGAGAACGCCACCAGCAAGAAGATCATTCGCAGCGTCTTCCGCAAGGGGGACAGTGCCTACCTCTCAGGTGCGCGGCACCCCTGACATGGGGGGCTTGTGGGGGAGCTGGTTGGGGCAGAGCAGGGCACGGAACCCGCTGCCCCACCTCCCCTCCTCCACCTGCCAGGTGATGTACTGGTGATGGACGAACTCGGCTACATGTACTTCCGGGACCGAAGCGGGGACACCTTCCGCTGGCGCGGGGAGAATGTGTCTACCACCGAGGTGGAAGGCGTGCTGAGCCGTCTGCTAGGCCAGAGGGACGTGGCTGTGTACGGGGTGGCTGTGCCAGGCAAGTTGGTCTTCAGGTAGGGGTGGTCCTGGGGTTTGCAGCATCAGGAAAGTGGCCCAGAAGTGCAGGTGTCTTTGCATAGTGCACAACCCAGACAACTGCTCATGATTGAGAGTGCTGGCTTTGAAACCATTCAAACAGATCACAAAAGCAGTGCAGGGAGTCCAGAGTCCAGACACAGTACTGTCATGAGGGATGTGGTGGGGCGGGACCTGTTGGGGAGTGGACACAGAGCGTATCCTCAGTCAAGCCTTTTTCTTAGGAGTGGAAGGCAAAGCCGGCATGGCCGCCATCGCAGACCCCCAGGGCCAGCTGAGTCCCAACGCACTGTACCAGGAGCTGCAGAAGGTGCTGGCACCCTACGCCCGGCCCATCTTCCTGCGCCTCTTGCCCCAGGTGGACACCACAGGTGCAGCCCTGCTTCTTCTGTCTGTCAATATGTCAGTCTCTTCTCCGTGGATTAGCCATCTTCATTCTTCCTAGTTCAGCCTCCATGCTGGGGCTGACCTAATGCTTCTGTTTCTGTGGTTCATGGGTTTCCATGCCTCATTCCCACCCTGCAAACCAGTTGCCATCAAGTAGAATGCAACTCATGGCAGCCCCATGTGTGTCAGAGTAGAACTGTGCTCCACGGGGTTTTCAGTAGCTGATTTAGAAGTGATCGCCAGGCCTTTCTTCCAAGGCTTCTCTGGGTAGACTTGAACGTCCAACCTTTTGGTTAGCAGCCAAGCACATTCACTATTTGCAATACCTAGGGACTCTCCCCTCCCCACCCTCCAAGCTTCTGAAAGGATTGGTGTATCTGTTCATTTTTTTGCAATTTTTCCTAGTTGCTAGGTAGGAAGTTAAAGCGTACCTTGTGCCTTTTCTGTGTCCTCGTCTGCTTTTGCCTGTTTGTGTCTTTAGCCTAGCCCTGAATTGTTTACTGTTTCCTTGTGATTTGGGGGAGTTCTTTGAAATAGCCTGGATGTTAATTCCTTAGCAGTGTTGGACATCAGGATTCTCTTTCCTGTTCTGTGTGTGATTTTTATAACCTTGTGCCCAGTGTTCTTTGTGGGAAAGAAACACTTAATTTCAAGATGAACAAATTTCTCTTTTTAAAAAAAACCTTATGATTTGTGCTTTTGAAGTTTGTTCTAGAAAACATTTCCAACTCTAGATCACAAAGGTGTGTTCCTGCGCTTGCTGAATCTCTGGTATTATCTTTCAAAAAACTGTTCTTTCATCAAGTGCTGCAGGGGCCAAGAGCAAACAGTGAACAAGATCAGCTATTAATAAAAGGGTTTGAGTTTGAAGTCCACCCAGAGGGGATGCCTCAGAAGGAAGTCTTTAAAATCTACTTTCAAACGTCAATCAATAGTGATGCATGTTCAACCTTGGAACAACAGGGCTCTGTGATACAGGGATCGAGGCAGAGTCTGAAGACTATCTTAGGAATATTGCTTTCCCTTGCCTACTATTGTAAAATAGACGCTTGAGTAGGATAGAAAGGAATGTCGGGAAACATGACTGCAGAACGCTTGTAAGCCCCTCTTCAGCCTATAACTGATTGGAATTCCTAAAAGGGGTTCTAGAACTTGCACAGTGAAATAGGCTTCTTGCAAAGCCTTTGCAGTGTATATAGGACTTTAGGTAGAATTGTCATTAGAAAGGACAAGCAGACCAGCCTGGAACAGCTAGAGCAACAGATTTAAAAAAAAAAAAAAAAAGAATAATGTAGTCACGCTGAGAAGATGTGATCAGAAATGTTTATATATTTAAATTGTAAAACGTTTCAACAACATAGTATTTAGTATAACTGCCTCTATATTAGTTTGATGCTAAAGTTTTCAATTTCAGAATTTCAGGAAATACATTTTTCATCATGGCTAAATTAAAAAATAAAAGTCAAATCAGTGAAAACTCCTTGGAACGCAGTTCTACTCAAAAACACATATAGTCACCATGAGTTAGAATTGACTCAAGGGCAACAGATTTCACTTACCAAAAGGGGTTGGAGAGCTTTGTCACGAAGGACCAGAGGGTAACTTTTTCAGTTACGCACACTGTGTATGGTGCCTGTTATAACTTTATAATTCTGTCATTATAGCAGTCGTATTAGTGTGAAATGGGGCTACTTGTAACAGCATTATCAGAACCTGTGTAACTTCAGTGGAGATGTCTTGGTGCGGTGCTGTGGGATAAAGCACTGGACCGCAAGGTTGGCAGTTCAAACTCACCAGCCGCTTCTTGGAAACCTTATACAGGGTCACTATGAGTTGGAAACGACTCGAAAGCAGTTAACAACAACAATCACCAAGATCACCCCAAAACAGGTTTCTATAAGGTAGAGGTCTGACATACCTCCACTCTTCAAGCTTTGTACAAATTCTAATACCAGCTGCCCCTTCCACTGTACCTTCATTTACTTCTCTTCTGAATGTGTTCATCTGTTACAGTGACCCCACAGAATTCACAACCTTACTTACAGCTACTACCACTCGTCTGTCAGTTGTCAGTGTGTTGAACTGTGATGGCTTGCATGTTGCTGTGATTCTGGATGCTATACCACTGGTATTTTAAATACCAGCAGGGTCACCCATAGGACAGGTTTCAGGTGAGCTTCCAGATGAAGACAAACCAGGAAGGTGAGATGGACTACTCGAGAATATTTAATCACTGAAAACCTTCTGAATAGCAGTGGGGCACTGTCAGATAGCACCAGAATACTGAATATTGAAACATGATGAATTAACACCAGGATGTTGTCAGCTATAGGAGTCCTGGTATGGTGCTGTGGGATAATGTCCTGGACTACAACATCAGTTTGAGCTTCAAGGTTGGTGGTTCAAACCCACCAACTGCTCCATGGAAACTTTGAACATGGTCATTATGAGTCACAACCAACTCGATGATACTTAACAATAACAACAGCATTGTCAGCTTTAGTACTGGAAAATGAACACCTCAAGTTGGAATGTACTCAAAATACGACTGGGGAAGTTCTGTCGCCTCAAAATAGAGTTGACTGTGATGCTGTGAATGGAAGAAAGCTTTTAGGACCTTCATTTGCTGATGTGATACAGTTCAAAATGAGGACAAATGCTGTAAACATCATAATAATAAGAACATGGAATGTACAAAATGATGAATCTAGGAAAATCTGAAGTCATCAAAACTGAAATGGAATGCATAAACATCAATCATCCTAGGCATTAGTACACTGAAATGGATTGTTATTAGCCATTTGTAGTCTGACAATCACATGGTTTACTATGCCGGGAATGACAAATTTAAGAGGAATGGTGTCGTATTTATCATTAAAAAGAACATTTTAAGACAGATCTTGAATACAACTCTTGTCTGTGAAAGGATAATATCCATGAGGCTGTGAACTTCAAGGTCAGCAGTTCGAAACTACCAGCTGTTCTGCGGGAGAAGGATGAGACTTTCTGCTCCCATAAAGATTTACAGCCTCGGAAACCCTGTGCAGGGTCAATATGAGTCGGAACCAACTCCACAGTACTTAACACCAACAAGGAAGACCAGTCATTACTACTATTATTTAAATTTGCATATCTACCACTAAAGCCAGTAATGATAAAATTAAAGAAAATGAAAACCAGTCCATGACACACAAAATGTGACCTTGAACATATCCCACCTGAATTTAGAGATCATCTGAAGAACAGAGTTGATGAATTGTGGGATGACATCATACAGGAAGAAAACAAAAGGTCATTAAGACAAGAAAGAAAGAAAAGACCAAAATGGATGTCAGAATAGACTCTGAAACTCGCTCTCCAGCATAGAGATGCTAAAGCAAATAGAAGAAATGAGGTAAAAAAGCTGAATAGAAATTTTCAAAGGTCCGCTTGAGAAGACAGAGTCAAATATTGTAACAAAATGTGCAAAGACCTGGAGTTGGGAAACCAAAAGGGAAGAACACAGTGAGCATTCCGCAAGCTGAGGGAACTGAAGAAAAAAACTCCAGCCTCAACTTCAAATATTGAAGGATTCTGTGGGCAAAATATTGAATGATGGAGAAAGCACGAAAGGAGTCCCTGTACCAAAAAGAAATAGTCAATGATCAAGCATTTCAAAAGATAGCATAGGATCAAGAGCCAGTAATACTGAAGGAAGAAGTCTAAGGTGCATTGAAGACATTGGCAAAGAACACGGCTCCAGGAATTGGTAAAATACAAATTGAAATCTTGCAACAGACTGAGGCAGCACTGGGGCACTCATCTCTGCCAAGACATTTAGAAGACAAACTACTTGGCCAACTAATTGGAAGAGATCCATATCCGTGTTCATTACAAAGAGGGGTGATCCAATGGAATGCAGAAATCATCGGACATCATTAATATCACATACAAGTTAAATGTTGCTAAAGATAATTTCAAAATGCCTGCAGCAGTACATTGACAGGGAGCTGCCAGAGGTTGAAGCTGGATTCAGATGAGAATGTGAAATGAAGGATATCATTGCTGATGTAAGGTGGATCTTGGTTGGAAGCAGAGAACACCAGAAAGATGTTTATGCTTTATAAAATATGCAAAGACTTTTGACTGTATGGATCATAACAAACTATGGACAGCATTGCAGAGGATGATTATTTCAGAACACTTGTGTCCTTGAAGAACAGACCAAGAGGCAGTCGTTCAAACATAGCAAGGAGACACTGAATGTTTTTTAAAATTAGGCAAAGTGTGTGCCAAAATATGTTCCTTCACCATATTTATCCAATCTGTATGCTGAGCACCTAACCTGAGAAAATGGATTATATGAAGAAGAAAATGGTATCAGCATTAGAGGAAGACTCATTAACAACTTGCAATATGCAGATGACATAACCTTGCCTGCTAATAGGGACGAGGACTTAAAATACTGATGAAGATCAAAGACCACAGCCTTTAGTATGGGTTGCACTTCAATGTAAAGAAGTGGACCAATAAATTGTTGTTGTGAGGTGCCATCGAGAGTCGGTACCGACTCATAGCAACCCTATGCACAACAGAACGAAATAGTGCCCGGTCCTGGGCCAACCTCACAATTCTTGCCATGCTTGAGCCCATTGATGCTGCCACTTGGCCAATCCATCTCGCTAGGGGTCTTTCTCTTTTTCTCTTACCCTCCACCTTGCCAAACATGATATCCTTCTCCAGCAACTGGTCCCTCCTGACAATATGTCTGAAGTATGAGAGACAAAGTTTGGCCATCCTGGCCTCCAAGGAGCACTCTGGCTGCACTTCTTCCTATACAGATCTGTTGGGTCTTTTGGCAACTTTCAATGGCACTTTCAATATTCTCCTCCAACACCATAACTCAAAGCATTAATTCTTCTACAGTCTACCTTATTCACTGTCCAGCCTTCACATGCATATGAGGTTATTGAAAATACCATGGCTTGGGTCAGGTGCACCTTAG